AGTTGAATCTGTAGGCAGACAATAGAAAGAGGCACAACTCACAATTTGGCATTTTTGAAATTATGCGCTAAAAATGTACACAGAGTTTTTATTTACCTTTTAGCAAAAGCTGGTGCAAATTTTTGTTATAATTTGTTAAAAAAAAACCTTGCCCATATGATTATTATGTGCTAAGAAATAGTTTTTACGCATTTTCTGACAAACGTGTAAGCCCTGAGTTGTGCCCCTTTTGAAGACTGCGTGCGATATGTATGCACATATTTGCATACTCGCATGCAGTTTCTTTTCAAGGTAAGTTACACACACACACAGTAATCTACGGCCTTCTACCGAATGCACCGGTTTGTTGCACTCACTTTTCAAAGCAAACTACAGCATAAAACACACAAGCAACACGTGAATGGCAAAAAAATATTCAATCAATTTACATACATACATACATATATTTTTAACACCGAAATTTCAATTTCAATTAGCAAGAAATCGAAGTATTTGTCTATGTAATTATTCGGTGTTGAGCGCCAGCTGCCAGAGTTGAGAAGTAAACAAACGCAGAAGCACCGCCCAATATGCAACAATGAAGTGCAATTTAGTTAACTTTTTTACTTGTAGATAAATACTAAATAGTTGCTGGCAAGGTGGCAAAATTTAATTTCTTGTTGACTTCATTTGTTAATTAAATTAGTAAAAAATATACAAACATACATAGCTAATTAGTAATACCGTCATGCAAATGTATTTATCATATTTACATGTGTGTGTGTGTGTGTATGTGTGTGTGGCAAAATGCGCTATTTACGAGCAACCAAATGGGGAAATTGTCTTGTTATGTGCGATTTTTTAATGGTTTTTGACGCAAATAAAAACATTCTTTGGCAAGTACGTAGGTTAGAGCACTTAAACCAGCCAAAAACTGCCCGCACAAATAACAAACGATGATTGCAATGATTCGCCAAATGGGCCGAATGCCAATTAAATTAGAAGAAAAACAGAATAGTTGCGAAAATACATGCATATCGTTGTTGCAATGAAATTTAAGTAAATTAAAATAAATTACATTTGTACTAAATATTATTGACGCAAGGCGTAATGGCATGCATTTACATTTGAAAATAGCTGAATGTTGCATGTTCCACTGTGCATGCGCCACTTAAGTGCACGAAAAATGAGATTTGCAAATTATAGGCATCGAACGGAACACGAAATGACTCAAAGTACGGTGGATAATTTAATAATTAGTCACATTAAAGGGCATAGAATAAAATAAAAACACGCCCACGTAATGCATTTTTGAAAAAAAATTACATAAATTTTTATGTATTTAATGAAGGCATTAGAAAGTTCTTCGGCGAAGAGTCACATCTACTAAATTAACATAGAAATCACTCTGAAAGACATGAGTGTCAAAACGAGAGCAAAGGAGAGGGGGACATACTGGAGCTACTGTGCAGATCTTTTTTTTTTATAAAAACTACACATACACATTTGGGTACCCAGTGAATAAATATAGTATGAACCCATATTTAGTAGGTTCAGTTAAAGAAATCATTCAAAAGGTTTAAGGAAAATAAGTTTCTTTGCTCTTTTGAGAAATTTTCGTACTTTTTTATACGTGGTATTGCATTTGGCGTCAGCGAGGTATTGCGACGAGCCAAGTAGGGTGCTTGACTTGGTTTTTCCAAACCGCTTTTCACCGTTTTTGTTTTTTGATATCTATAGGTGGTTTTTTCAAATCTTGATTTTTCGACTATCGAATAAACCGGATTTTTTTGTCGAACCCACCGGGTTTTTTCATATCATACAAATTTTGGCATCGAGGAGTGACCTCTATTAAAAAAAAGAACTATTTTTTATGTTGCTGGGACCAGATCATGGACGTCCGGAGTGGCAGTAGTACCTCTAAGCACTCTGCTACAGCAGCAAGGACACTACTCAAAACCGAAAAAAGTAAGAAAAAATGCAATAAAGTACTAAAAAAAGTTAAAATCAGGGCAAGCGTTAATTCTTCACTGATTTTTACTTGTTTTGCATTTGATCTAAAAAAAACTTTGCACTTATTTTGCTTTGCTCTTTTGTAAATGAAGGCTATCTTTACTGTTAATTATTTTATTGTAATTTTTGGTTTCATGACTTCATACCGAAATAAACATTTTCAATTTATGAAAACTATGTAAACAAAACTGGTTTATCAGAGTTTTTCTTTATTTCAACATCGGCAACCAGTTTTTTTTTCCAATTGCAATTTTTCGAATAACTCGAAAACCGGTTTTGAAAAAAATTGCGAAAAATCGGACACCCTAACGCCAAGCTACGATATGTAAATACATACATACAGTGACTCAAACTGCGGTGGACGTGGCTATTTTTTTAATATTCACATATTTTTCCAGTTAATTTTTTATAAAAACATTGTTCGTGCTATAAGTAGAACCCGCATATACATTAGGGTGGTCCAAAAAAGTCGGAATTTTAATGCCCTCACTCGTTACGATTGTTCTATACCGAAAAAACATACCTCTCAAAGTTTTCCATGTATTTTAAATGGTGTCCCAAAAAATAACTTTTTGAAACGCAGAATACTGATAACACCATTATAAATTATTTAAACGTATTTCGAAATAATAAAATATTTTGATTAATTAAAAATACATTTTCTTTTTAGGTAGAACCTGAGAGATTACTATACTTTCTACTTAAATTTTAGAAACTTGGACGATTCTTGAATTATAAGCTAATTATCTGCTCTTACAAGGGGCGCTACGAAAAATCTCGCCTAGAAGGCTCAACTTATCTGAAAGCATTTACAAAAAGGTAGCGCATATATGGTATATGCATGTATGTATGTATGTCTGAGGTGCAAATTAAATTCATTTACATAATCGTTCCCATAAAAATTCTGTGTAATATTAGCTGGATGTGCTTGCAGAAATACATACATATGTACGTAAGTATTGAACAAGTCCTTAGCTCCCTCCGACTATTCGGCATAAAATTATCATTAAGTTACACACGTGCCTCATAATCCGCAAAAAACAACAAATACGCCTAAAAAAAACACACTTTATTTAAATGAGGAAGAGGTAGCGTAAAAAATTGAAAAAAAAAAGTGGTATTCATAACCATTGGGAAATCGATCGAATACATATCGAATTCAATAATACCCTTAGAAGCAAAAGTTTATAAACTGTTGCACTTTAAGCTACATGCGAATTTAACTCTTTCTGCGCCCAAAAGGCAACGCTCTAATTTACCATAGCCCGCCCACACCTACATACAATAAATGCTAGCATAAATAGAATTTTCCTTTTGAAGTTCTCTGCTGCAGCAAGCGAATCAACAATGACCTGACCTACACTCATGTCAACTTAGTCGATAAAAGCATGCAGCAGCGTCAGAGGGAGGACGCATGGACGATGAATTGCGGCCAGCTAGACCGACAAAGGCAGTTATGGAAGTGGAAAAGCGGTGGGACAACAAAAACGGACGGCTAAATTTGGAAAAATTAGGAAACTTTTGTACTATCGCTTGTAGGAATCAGCAGGTGCGCTTCACTTGACACGTCGCTAGGATGAGTGGAGTGTACGTGCGCCACAACACGCCAAACACCGCAACAACACCCCCGCGTGTATTCCACTGGAAATGGGGCTCGTTTTTCCAATGTACTACAACTCAAACTAGACACACATATTTATGTATGTACATATATGCTTTAATGTACATACATACGTACATATGTATTTAATCTCCAGTTGTATGTGATTTGTTGGTCGGATGCCATGCGTTTTGTGAGAATTGAAGAGCCGCACGAGCGTAAGACTCTTCGGAGAGACCCAATGGGATGCGTAAAAATTGTGGGGGTATTTTTTTTTAGTGGGTGGATGTCTGAGTAAATTTTCCAGCGTCTCAAGGACACTAAATGACATTTGGTCAGCTGATAGTAACGGTGGCGGATTTATTGTAAAATTTCTTAAATGAAATTTTTAATTTTCCTAAAGGCTTGCTGAGTAAATTAAAATCCCGACTTTGCACATCGATGATGCGGGTTCGATCCCTGCTGAAGTATAGAAAAAGAAGTCCGAAATAGCAGCTATAACTTCTATCGCTAAGACATTGTTGTTTTTTCCATTTTTCCTAATAAACATATTCGTAGTAAATACAAAGCTGAATAACAATATTAAAATAAAGTCCAAAGATTTGAAGGCCGTCTAACGGCACAGCCTACTTTGAAGGCTTCTAGAGTCCTATTAGGGCGGCCAAACTCAAGAGAGAACTGAAAAATTTGAGAAGATTACAGTCTATTTTAGCCGCCCGTCGCTGTTTGCCACTCTTCAGCTTGTCTATGGAATAATTTTGTACACATTTATTTACAAAGAAACATTTCCACTTACACAGAGAGCCAAATGAGAGTAAGAAAGCTGTCTATGGTATATAAATGTTGCTGCATCGATGGCGTGAGAATGCTCGCACGCGACCAAGACGATGAGGAAAAAAAAAACAACTTTCACTTCAAATACAGAATCAAAACAGAAAAACCATAAATGTTATTCACCTCCGGCAATGTGAATGGGAAGCATGCGAAGCAAATTGTGACTTCTTTTTGTTATTCATGTTTTCTCTTTTGATATGAGTGTTGCACTTCGGTTGGGTGCTACAGTGTAAATCCACATCCACTTTAGAGGTTTCTTAAATGGTTTTAATTATAATTTATAGTGCTTGTTTTACAGCTACCTATAATTAGCTTTTCTCTGCTTTACAAGTATACTGTAGTTCCACATGCTCCAAATTATCTTCAATAACAACTGGAACCACCACCGTTCCGTAACTGACTGCGGCGTCAAGACATGCAATCTTTAATAATTTATTGAAGGAAAAACAAAGAATTCGTATACAATGTGGACAAATGTCAAGTTGCCAAGCGGTGGGTCAAAGCAACGCCCTACCGAAATGCTGATCAAAGTTTTTGAAAATTTCAAAAGGACACGAATTATTAAAATTAGTAGCTGAGTTGAGCTGTAGCGCTGCGGTCATTCGTGAAAAAGTAAAAGAAATAGTTAGCTAAATATCATCATGGCCGAGGACCTAATGCTAAGTTCGTCTTCAAAGCACAAGTCTAAAACGCTGTGCTTTTACGGCGCCTGGGCCTGGATCGTAGACATTTTTCTCACCGTTTTCCTCATCGTTTTCACACTCTACATTCTGCGCAAAATCATACAAGGTCCATTCTACCGCAAGCGTAATCGCATCGATGAAAAAGTCGTCATTATCACTGGCTGCAGCGCGGGCATTGGCAAGGAGATCGCCCTGGAGCTGGCGCGGCGCGGTGCACGCATTTACATGGCTTGCCGCGATGCTGCGCGCTGTGAGGCCACGCGCCTCGAGATCATAGATGACACGGGCAACCAGCAAGTCTACAACCGCACACTCGACCTCGGTTCGCTGGAGTCCGTGCGTCAATTCGCTGCACGTTTTGTTGCGGAGGAGCAGCGTCTGGATATTTTGGTAAATAATGCCGATGTTATGACTACTCAACGTACCCTCACAGCCGACGGTTTTGAGTACCAATTCGGTGTAAACCATTTGGGGCATTTTCTACTAACCAGTCTACTGCTGGAGCGGCTGAAGGTAGCCGCACCGAGCCGCGTAGTCGTAATGAGCTCCTTCATGCATCTCTTTGGGCGTATAAACAAGGACGATCTGAACAGTGAGCTGCGCAAAACGAAAATTTTCGGCTCTTACGCAAACAGTAAATTGGCAAATATACTCTTTGCGCGCAAGCTGGCTAAATTGCTGGATGGTACGAGCGTAACGGTAAATAGCTGTAACCCTGGAATCGTGCGTACCGAGGCGATGTTTCGCAAGCAAAATCCGCGTTGGCTGTGGTTCATTGTCGACAAACTTTTCGGGCTGGTGGCTCGTACTCCGCTAGCAGGTGCACAGACTGCGCTGCGCCTGGCATTGGATCCCGACTTGGAACGATCGACAGGGGGCTACTACTCCTACTACATACGCTGGCAGCTGCCACCGTGGGCCACGAACAAAAAGATGACCGATTGGCTGTGGCGCGAAAGTGAGAAACTGGTCGGAATAAGCAGCGGCGAACGAATTCAAACGATCGATGTGTAATGAATAGTGTATTGCGGATGGAAAGGGCAGAGTAGCGAAACAATTTTCTTAATATAGTTAAAATTTGCATTAAATTAATTTATCTGATTCCGCAGAATAACTGTTTTGTTTATCATTCGTCGTAATACCTCTTCCGTTGAATGCTCACTGTAGCGTACCTCGTAGCCCAAATTTAAGTACTAATTACACACACGCCGCGAGAAAAACGACAACAGTAAACCTCTTTTGTGCTGTAATTTAGACGCGTTGTTTTGTGAGTGTCTCACAATGTAAAATCTGCAGCTCTGAGTGGCTTTCAAAGTCGCACAATTCACAGTAAAACTGGTATTTCATACACCTGTCTTTGTTTGTATCTCATTTCATCTCAATACGACTGCGGAATTAGTGTTTGCCGGTCGATGGAAGTCGTAGGCAGTGTATTAGCCTGTGGATTATTTAAAGAAAGCCACGAAATTACTACGCAGTGGAGCGAAATTCGAAAGTAACCATTAAATTTCGAACTCACTCGCGCAGAGTGGTGCAGTGACGACTATGAAAATCGGTCGTTGGCAGTTAGTTTGCCGCAGTGGTGCCTAAAAGAAAGTTGCTTTGTGAGTATACAGCGCAGGCGCGCAAAATCTCACTCAAGCATTCACTAGTAGATACTTTTCCATACAAACAGACAGACACCCACAGTGTACGAATATGTTCGATGACGTTGTGAGTCCTCTGGAAGACGAGGAAAAATCATTGTGCTTTCGCGGTCCCTGGGCCTGGCTAGTGCTCATCACCGTCTGTTGTATCGGCATCGCTTTGGTCATGTGGCTACTGCGCAAATGCGTGCAAGGCCCCTTCTATCGCAAAAAGACTCGCATCGATGGTAAAGTGGTAATCGTGACGGGCTGCAACACGGGCATTGGCAAGGAGACCGCCATGGAGCTGGCGCGACGTGGTGGCCGCATTTACATGGCCTGCCGCGATGCAGCGCGTTGTGAGTCGGCGCGCATGGAGATCATTGAACGCACGCACAACCAAAATGTCTTCAATCGCACACTCGACTTGGCCTCATTGTCGTCGGTGCGACAGTTTGCCGAGCGTTTCTTGGCAGAGGAACAGCGTTTGGATATTCTGATAAACAACGCTGGCATCATGGCCACACCGCGCAAGCTCACCGTCGACGGCTTCGAACAGCAGTTGGGTGTCAACCATTTGGGTCACTTTTTGTTGACAAACCTGTTGTTAGAACGCCTAAAGTCGACTGCGCCCAGTCGCATTGTGGTAGTGACTTCGGCGGCATACATCTTCGGGCGCATCAACAAGGAGGACTTGAACAGTGAGAAGCACTATTCGAAATTCTTGGGCGCCTATTGCCAAAGCAAGCTGGCTAACATCTTATTCACGCGCAAATTGGCCGAGTTGCTTAAGAATACCGGCGTGACCGCCAATTGCGTGCACCCAGGCATTGTGCATACTGAATTAGGCCGTTACAGTGTGGCGGAGCATTGGTACAAATCGATGTGGTTTCGCATGTTTAGTTGCTTTGTAAAGACGCCGCAGGCAGGGGCGCAGACCACGTTGCGAGTGGCATTGGATCCGGCGCTGGAGAAGTGCTCTGGCGACTATTATGCGGACTCGATGCGACTTCCCTTGCTGCCGAGGGCCAAGGACAAGGAAATGGCCGAATGGTTGTGGAAGGAGAGTGAAAAGCTGGTGGGCTTGCAAGGTGGAAACGCGGTGCAAACAATTGTCGTGAATCAATGAAGTAGGTACTAAAGCAAAGGAATGGTCGAAAGCGAGAAAAAGAGAGAGAGGGAAGTAAGGCGAGCTACAGGAAAGGAGATTATACGTAGTAACGATGTGTCGGTATATTTTCCGCTTATTTTTAGGTAAATTTTAAGCTTCTGTATATCTATACATATTAGAGGGCTGCATGAATTCATTCAAAAGGGCTTATGAAGTATTCATATACAAAACGAATGAATGATTTTGAATTGGAGTGAATACCTGTTCGGATATATGTGTCGACATTACAATATTCAAACAAAGTGAAAATAAATTGAATTGAATTAAATGACAATTTTTTGCATGAATATCCAAAAATATTTTTTCTATGCACATATGTTAAAACATACATATATATGTATGTGTGTATGTATTGCTCGCACCTTTTAAAATACGAACAAACTTGTTTGCAGAAAAAAACTTTTACCGAAATGAGTTTGAATGATTTGAATGTTTTTCATTCATTCATTCACATTCTTCCATTTGAAGGTAGAAAATTTAAAACAAAATGTTTATTCATGACTTGCAAAATTACAAACGCTGAGTGTTTTGTATGTGAATTGAAATACTCAAATTTACTGTGCTCTATTTGGCAAGATATTTGAATGAATTCATGCAGCCCTCTAATACATATTTATGTAAATATGTACGTATATGTAAAGAATAAATAAATAAAAAGTGTATCCCGAAAAAGTGAGTCTTTCTTCTTCTATATTTCATCTATTATTTAAGCTATCTGGAAATTTTGGAATAAACTCGTAAAATTTATGCCTTTTTCTCTGTAAATTTTTCGCTTCGAAGCTTTCCGCTTATCTATCATTTTTGTAAGTCATCGTTTCGACATTGAACTCATTTCGCAATTTGCTGCTACTTTTTAAGTTTGCTGATAGCGAGTCGCAAGCGCCATGCCCATCTGTAGGGTGCCATCTTTTGAGAACTGGCCAAGTTTGGTTCCAGCAGCGGTAATTGCAATGTTTGTATTCAACGCTGACCGCAGTAGTGCTCGTATTTGCTGTTCATAGCCGTGCAATCCACACTTGAACATTGTTCGAATGCGGCTTGGAAGTTCATGGAGAACCGGTTGCCAGTTGCGGACTTACGATGGCATTGACGATAAATTGCAAGTAGGTATGCGAGATGCCAACACTAACACACTTGACATGACAGGAATACTAAATAGACGTGTCGGAGGCTATTTTGCAAGTAAAAACGCATAAAACGACAATTAAAACTTGGCCAGACTCACTCACGTTTACAGCTTTAACCTGGCTTAGGCATTGGATGGAGTACTTTATGAGATTTTTATGCCTTCCAAGTTGAATTTTTTTCAGACACAGAGGGGAAACAGCATTGCTGTGCGAGCTTATTCCCGAAAACAAAAAAACTCGCTTAGTTTGCTTTTGAGCGCTTTTACCTGGAACTAGTAACTACAAACCAGTTTGGGAACGTGTGCCTTCTGCGCTGCGCTGCGCTGCTTTTGACGCTACACTTAGCCGCCACTCCAGCGGAAGCCAACTATAATTTAAAAAAGAAATGCGCCAGAAAAATTTGGGCTAACGTTTGCCTTTAATACCTCTGTACTATGGCCTCTGTATATAGGGCTGCCGCCACTTTCACCACTGCCAAAAAAGCACCAGCACAATGTGAGTTTGCAGCGGCTGAACGCCGCGCGAAGATCATGTTGACTTGCCAGGTTAGCGATTATCAGCGAACGAGGAAAGCGCGCTTCGGCGCCAGTTGGAATGGATTGTAAGTTGGAAGTCAGTTGAAGCTTGCCACTGACAGCGCAAAGTACGCGTGTTGATTAAACAAAGTTATTTTATTGTAGTGCGCACTTAGAAAACTTAAAAAGTACACACACACACATACATACGCCGGTAGTAGTATGTCAGATAGCGAAGAGGAGAAACTGTGTTTCCATGGCGTCTGGGTTTGGCTGCTGCCAGCCATTTTCATTGCCGTCGCCGTGGTGTTTTTCTTGTGGCTGCTGCGCAAGTGCATACAGGGTCCGCGTTATCGCAAGGCGAATCGCATCGATGGCAAGGTAGTCATTGTGACGGGCTGCAATACAGGCATCGGCAAGGCAACTGCTCTGGAGCTGGCGCGGCGAGGCGGTCGCATTTACATGGCCTGCCGCGATGCGGTGCGCTGTGAGGCCGCGCGTCTGGAGATCGTAGAGCGTACGGGAAATCAGCATGTCTACAATCGCACACTGGATCTGGCATCGCTGAATTCGGTGCGTCAATTCGCCGCGCGATTTCTCGCCGAGGAGCAGCGCTTGGACATTTTGGTGAATAACGCTGGCATCATGGCTACGCCGCGCAAGCTCACCGCTGACGGCTACGAACAACAGTTGGGTGTCAACCATCTGGGCCACTTTTTGCTGACAAACCTGCTGCTGGAGCGCTTGAAAGCCTGCGCGCCCAGCCGCATTGTGGTTGTGAGCTCAGCCATGTACATCTTTGGGCGCATCAAACGCAATGACCTGAATAGCGAGCGCAGCTATTCGAGCTTCTTTGGCGCCTATTCACAGAGCAAGCTGGCGAATGTGTTGTTTACGCGCAAGTTGGCTGAGCTGCTGGAAGGCACTGGCGTTACGGTGAATTGTTGTCATCCAGGTGTGGTGCGCACTGAGTTGGTGCGGCACATTAAGTTCCCAGGCTTTGGGTTGTTGCACTATTTGGTGAAGTTCTTGTGGAAGTCGCCGGAGGAAGGCGCACAGACGCAGCTGCGCTTGGCGCTCGATCCGGCGTTGGAGAACTCCACAGGCGGCTACTACAGCGACTCGATGCGTTTTCCGCTGCTGCCGCGGGCGAAGTGTAGCGCCACAGCGGACTGGCTGTGGGAGGAGAGCGAAAAACTGGTGGGACTGAAGGTGGGAGGAAAGAGTAACGAAATGGAATCGGTGGCGGTGTCGGTTGCGGTGAATGGCGTGCAATCTTAATGAGCTTTGGATTTTTTTTTACTATTTAGAAAGAATGGTGAATCAAAATAAATGCTTTACAAATATTTTCTATAAAAAAGGGAATTGATTGTGAAAAATGTAGCGAGAGGAATGACAGCTGCTGTTCTACGCGATACATTTCAATATCTTCTCCACTTCTCTTGATTCTGCTTTCATTTTGCTGATTTCGCACAAAAACAGAAAAAAAAAATTGCGCGGCGTTGGAGCGCACACGCCCCCGCAGCGCGAGCAACAAAGGGGCCTAGAGAGCGCACTTTCTACAAATCTGATTTTGCGCTCTGTCTTTCAATCGTCTTGCGGCCAGCGCTTTTTGTTATTCATCAAACCAAAAATTTTGTGTACAAATAGCTTTTATAAATAAATTATCAACTTTACATATGTATGTATGTGTGTACTCATGCGCATTTGTGTGTGTGTGTCACACATTGTTTTCTATACTAATTGTTTACATTTGTATGCGTCAACAATTTATACATATTCTAATTCCTATTTATACAACGAAAAACATGTGCGTGTGTATTTGTATGCGAACAAAAAGTTTTCGCACAAATAAATTCGAAATTTGTATTATATGCAAATTTTTCTACTGAGTCACAACCTTAGCTAAATTAATTCATTTCCGGCAATAGAGCTCTCTGCTATACGGAGGCAAAATAAATTTTCTATTAAATCAAAATAGTGTTGCCACAATTTTTCATGCAGCCTATCAGCCAGCTCAGCTCTGTGGCCCATTTCGCTTGCAGCAACCGCCTAAGCAGCTCAATTAGCCATCATCGACAAGTGGCAGCGAATAAATCTAGGCGCTTGCTCGGCCTACAGCGCGGCCATTCATTATTCATGAGCGTGGATGTGCTACGCCAGTTTGCGCGGATGACTAGCCGCCTATTTATTTAAATTATGTCCACTGAGCTGTCTGTAATCGACCTAATCGTGACACTCAACGCCACCCACGACGTGAGGTCTTTATCGGCGAACAAGTTGACGAGTGGACGGACGGTGGGGCGGGTTGGAGTCCGTTGCAGAAATTATGCAGTGCATTAATGGATTATTTGCAGCTGTTGTTGTTTTGATATAAAACGGCAATTGAGAAGCAGCTGATAGATGGCAACTGCCGACTGTTTATACAACTGAAATGGGCCAGAGCTGATAGGAAAGGTGGAGAGACATATCGTACCTTTGCTGCAAGAGTGTTTGTTAAGTATGAGGAAATGACCAAGTAAAAATTGCATAGCTGTTTTTCTCTGGTTTTTGATTTTTGGATTGTGACACTCTTACAGCAAAGGAACGGTAAGTACATACAAACACATGCTTTGAAGAGATTTCTACATTAACTTTAACAGAATGGTAAAAACCTTGGGACGTTCAAGCCTGAAAATAGTCCATGTATATAAAAAATAGAGCAAAAAATAATATTTGTGTTTAGTTTTCACCCTGTTACTAAAACTATCTTTTATTCAGCCATCATTTTTTACTGACGAATTAAGAAGTTTCTTTTCTCTCTTTTTGAAAAGAGGCCGGCTGAGTTCGAGTGCTTTTGAGATCATTCTAGAACTTGCTAAATGAGATGCTTGCAAAGTGAACTACTTAATTTTTCTTGCTCTTCTACATGCATTCCATTCATTCTTTGTAAGCTATATACGTAGATATGTATGTATGTACGTACGTGACCTCTGAAGGCAAGGTAAATGGAGCGCAGGTAGATTTTTGCATTGACTTTCTTACACTCACCGTGATCGCTCAGCTCTGCAGACGGGTTGGTCTATTAACTTTTGCATTTAGAGCAGGCAATGCCTTTAAGATTACGCGACCGCTGTGGTTGAGTGGTTAGAGGTGCGTATTACCACCACTCCACAGAGCCTGGGTTCGACCATGCCCTTCGGCAGCCGATGGCAAACCTCCGAGTGTATTTTTGCCATGAAAAAAACGGAGGCGGCTGCGTAAAACTGTAGGTCCGTCTATTTGTGTAAAGAAATCAGCGCCCTTTGAGGTGCTATATTATATTAAAACCCTTACTATATAGGGCGCACTTATTTGGAGGTTTTGCTGGACGGATTTTGAAACCAAGCGAACGATGGTAAATTAATTTTTCTGTAGATAACGAGAGCTTATACATACATATGGTTTCAAAATACGAACATGATTACAATTATGAAAATGGATATGAAGAGCCCAACTAAAGGCGAACACAAATACGACCACAAGTACGAAAACATTTGCAGAGCCGAATTCGAAGATAAATACGAACGCGAGACGATCACGAATATGAACACGAAACCCGAGTATGAAGACAAAGACGAATATGAAGACGAATACTAAAACCAAGGTTAAGGTTAATATTAAGCTTAAGATAAATTTCTGCAATATGAGGCGAACTAGAAATAAATCGACGGAAATTTCACATTAGTAGTGTAGCCCAGGCGCACAGGTGGCAGAATGTCCAAGTTTCGAAATAGCCAATCCAGTGGTTGTCCAGACTCTAGACGTTCCTGTTAACATGATCTAAGGCTTTTTGCGAGGAAAAACGGCACTAGTAGATAGTATTCAAAACAGGGACGTGAACAGGATGAACGATTTGGTTGGTTGTGTTCAGCGGTTCGAACCGTTTTTAGATTGGTTTTTTTTTTGGTCTTTGAGCCGGGGTTTCGGTCGGTTCAACGGTTCGGATATCCAAAAAACAAAAAAAAAAAATAAAAAATTAACCCACAAGTTCAAGTGTAAAGTGGTAGTGCAACAACGCGCAAGGTTAAGTGACAAGTGTCTGTCAAATGAGATAGGTTGCCTATACATTTGATATTGCCACATGATAAGCAAATATGGTATGTATTACCATATTTAACAAAAAGAAAAAAGCGGGTAAACTTATCCATTGAAAATTGGTTGGAACGAACCTTTAAACCTTTATGAAAAATGGTTCGGTTTTCGGTTTGGATCAAATATTTGTGGAAAATTTCGGTTCGGTTAATGGTTCAGATAATTAATAGAAAAAAGCGGTTTTCTGGTTCAAAACCGGTTCACGTCCCTGATTCAAAAATCACTTTACATTGAATTGTTTCAAGAAACCATCGATAGTGGCTAAAGCATTGGCCCCATCGATTATATCGATGGTCCCATTGATGGTTTTGCAGCACTAGTATGCAGCGCCTGGGTTCAAGGTTTTTGCTTAACAGCGGTCGCCCCTCGGCATGAAATGGCAAACCTCTTAGTGTATTTCTCAGTGATGTACTAAATTGTCGGTACCCAATACTCCTTACCCAATAATTCAAAAAGATTTCGGTACCCAATACCGATTCCTTATATTAAACCTCACCGTTATATAAATTTCAAGTTTAAAAAAAAATTATTTCAATAATATTTTATATAATATCGCTTAAAACACATGAACTTATCGCAAAGTAAAATATTAGTTTATCAGTTTTTATCTCAGTATGTCGAAGGTTCAAGAAAACAGCTTTGACAGATGAAGTAGCCTTTCAGGCCTTCAAAGATAATATCGTCCGATTCATCTAGAACAAAAAAGCCTCTGCATTATGGCGACGGACCGACATACATATGTACATATGTATATACAGTTTTCATTTGAATCAGTATTAAAAGCTCTCTTGGCCCCTACATTCGGCTTTTAATAAGCGAGTCTTCCCTGAACCAGTTTTTTCCATATTTTTGGCCGATGTGCGTTTTTATAGATACCTAAATATTTCGGTACCGATTATCGAAAGTATTGGATACTTTTTAAATCGATACCGAGTATCGATCAATACTTAAAAGTATCGACTCAGCACATCACTAGTATTTCGGCCATGAAAAACAGCTTCTCATTAAAATACAATCGTCGTTCGGAGTCGGCGTAAAACTGTAGGTCCCTCCTCTTTGTCTGACAACATCAAGGCGCACGCCACAAATCGGAGGAGAAGCTCGGCCAAACACTAACATATGTGTTAGCGCCAATCTATTATTATTATTATGTATGTATGTTTGTATTTGTTTAAGTAGATAAATAAAAATAGCAATTAAAAATTCCATAAACAAATACCTTATCTATTTTAATGTATGTATTTATAGCTATTTTTAGTCGCGTCTAACTGCATTCAATCTTTATAATTTACTTGCATCAATAAAATTAAAAAAATAATCTGTCTTAATTACACGAATCTGCATTAAGTTTATAATTTCATTTGCATAATTGAGTTGTGAAATGTAAGCGACGACAAAAGGCAGGCATGAAATGCTATAGTTCTGTTTAGATATGAACATATGTACATATGTACATGTATGCACTCATATACATACTACATATCTACGTGTATATATACATATGTATGTACGTTTATGTATATAGAACGCGATTTTATTAATTTTACCTTGGTTTAATTCATTTGTACTTTGTCTCGCGTTGAACGTTTGCCCATTTGTTCACTGGGCGAGCTCACCCAACGAACCGTAGACGTATTCTACAAATTCTTTAAAATATACACATACACAAGTGCATATGCATATGCTATATACAAACATACAAACATACAGATGTTCATACAAATCAACAAGTACGCGCGCATAGTGCAAAAAATTGTGTACATATCCACAAACAGTGACACCATCTGTGTTTAGAGTCAGTTATGCGCGCCTGCAATTTAATAAACTACAAAACCATACTGTATTAACCCATTCGAAGGCAGTGTGTCGCATGAAGCATGCCTTTTCTTGCCAGTGCCAGTGCGGTGCAGAAATTCTTGCAAATTAATTATTTTCATATGTAATGCAGTTGCGACTGTCACTGGTCTTACGATCGAGGCTCTAGAAAATTCGATGCTTTTCAATCCTCAGCTAAGTTGGGCGCGAAAAATACTTTTTTTCTGCATACAAGCGCACACACGCTTCCGCCTTCAGATGTTGCAACCCTTGGTTGGCGTGTCGCCAGAAGTGAGAACTCCAAAATTTTCCACAGCTCTTCGATCAAACAGCCAGTGGCATTTTTAAGGGTAGTTTTCTTGCGTTAGATGTTCTTTCGATGTTTTTTTTCTTGCTGGGTTGCCGTGGCAACAAAGGGGTTAATACACTCAGCGCACTAAATGCACATTAACCGAGTGGAAATTTCCATTGCTTATAAATTGTTTCGCGTAGCTGTGCTTCTGCTTTGTTTTCGCTCCGCTTTTTTCATTGTACCTACGCGAATATGAATACTTCAGCAAGCCAGCAATTTTATTTTATGTGCATCTATGTATGTATGCGTGTGTGTATGTATTCCGATTTTTCGTGATTGCACAGCGGACCATGAGGCAACAAAATTTTGTAGAACGTTTAATACAGTAAAAGTAAAAAAAAATAAATAATGCTTGGCAGAGAGAATACAAGGAATTTCTATATACATCTGGAATGTGCGCTGTTTTCTACA